CCTTGTGTTTGCTGCAGGCGAAGAATGAGTTGTATGACCACATAGACAAATACATCCACGAGAAGATCCACCTGGCCGCCGAGGCCATTTCCAAGTACGCAGCAGAGAAGATCAGCAATGATGACGTCATCCTGGTGTACGGCTGGTGAGTGTGATGGCGGAACGGCGAGGTAACATAACCGTGTCACTTTAAGACTCCCAACATCTTCCACTCCCCCTGCACCCCGCTCCTCTCCTCACTCCTCCATGGGGAAGACTCCGGTAACCTCCAAGCCAACAGACCCGGGAACCCAGCACAGGGATGGTGGGAGCTCCTCATAATGGGCACAGCGGGGGTACAGACCCGGGAACTCAGCACAGGGATGGTGGGAGCTCCTCATAATGGGCACAGCGGGGGTACAGACCCGGGAACTCAGCACAGGGATGGTGGGAGCTCCTCATAATGGGCACAGCGGGGGTACAGACCCGGGAACTCAGCACAGGGATGGTGGGAGCTCCTCATAATGGGCACAGCGGGGGTACAGACCCGGGAACTCAGCACAGGGATGGTGGGAGCTCCTCATAATGGGCACAGCGGGGGTACAGACCCGGGAACTCAGCACAGGGATGGTGGGAGCTCCTCATAATGGGCACAGCGGGGGTACAGACCCGGGAACTCAGCACAGGGATGGTGGGAGCTCCTCATAATGGGCACAGCGGGGGTACAGACCCGGGAACTCAGCACAGGGATGGTGGGAGCTCCTCATAATGGGCACAGCGGGGGTACAGACCCGGGAACTCAGCACAGGGATGGTGGGAGCTCCTCATAATGGGCACAGCGGGGGTACAGACCCGGGAACTCAGCACAGGGATGGTGGGAGCTCCTCATAATGGGCACAGCGGGGGTACAGACCCGGGAACTCAGCACAGGGATGGTGGGAGCTCCTCATAATGGGCACAGCGGGGGTACAGACCCGGGAACTCAGCACAGGGATGGTGGGAGCTCCTCATAATGGGCACAGCGGGGGTACAGACCCGGGAACTCAGCACAGGGATGGTGGGAGCTCCTCATAATGGGCACAGCGGGGGTACAGACCCGGGAACTCAGCACAGGGATGGTGGGAGCTCCTCATAATGGGCACAGCGGGGGTACAGACCCGGGAACTCAGCACAGGGATGGTGGGAGCTCCTCATAATGGGCACAGCGGGGGTACAGACCCGGGAACTCAGCACAGGGATGGTGGGAGCTCCTCATAATGGGCACAGCGGGGGTACAGACCCGGGAACTCAGCACAGGGATGGTGGGAGCTCCTCATAATGGGCACAGCGGGGGTACAGACCCGGGAACTCAGCACAGGGATGGTGGGAGCTCCTCATAATGGGCACAGCGGGGGTACAGACCCGGGAACTCAGCACAGGGATGGTGGGAGCTCCTCATAATGGGCACAGCGGGGGTACAGACCCGGGAACTCAGCACAGGGATGGTGGGAGCTCCTCATAATGGGCACAGCGGGGGTACAGACCCGGGAACTCAGCACAGGGATGGTGGGAGCTCCTCATAATGGGCACAGCGGGGGTACAGACCCGGGAACTCAGCACAGGGATGGTGGGAGCTCCTCATAATGGGCACAGCGGGGGTACAGACCCGGGAACTCAGCACAGGGATGGTGGGAGCTCCTCATAATGGGCACAGCGGGGGTACAGACCCGGGAACTCAGCACAGGGATGGTGGGAGCTCCTCATAATGGGCACAGCGGGGGTACAGACCCGGGAACTCAGCACAGGGATGGTGGGGGCTCCTCATAATGGGCACAGCGGGTGTACAGACCCGGGAACTCTCTGGTTTCACTCGCCAGCTTCTATTGAAGACTGAAGTAGCGGTTCTGGGCAGTGAGGGTCTCGGTTGTTGGTCTCGGTTGTTGGACGGAAGGTACAGATCAGTATAAGTGAAGCGTGCGGTCTGCTCTTTTTAGCTCGTCACTGGTGACCTTCACACTCTGCGAGGCTCACGACAGCGGGAAGAGTTTCCGTGTGATCGTAGCGGACAGCCGGCCGCGGCTGGAGGGGAGAGAGACGCTGAGGAGACTGGTGAACTGCGGCATCCATTGTACATACATCATGATCACTGCCATCTCCTACATCCTGCCTGAGGTGAGTGAGGGGATACGCCGAGCTCCACAATCTGCCCGTCTGTGTTACATCTTCATTTCCAATAAAGTTTTGTATAATATATAATAGCTGGAGTGTCGCGGTGGATCAGGACATGTTCTGGAACCATCAGATCCTCCACGTTCACACTGCTGATCCTCCAATGTGGCAGCCATGTAACACGCGTATGTTGTGTCTCCCCCAGGTGTCCAAGGTGTTCCTCGGGGCCCATGCTCTGCTTGCCAACGGCTACGTCATGTCGCGGGTCGGGACCTCTCAGATCGCGCTGATTGCCAAAGCGCACAACGTGCCGGTGCTGGTGTGCTGCGAGACCTACAAGTTCTGTGAGAAGGTGCAGACGGACTCCTTCGTCTCCAACGAGCTGGGTGAGAACCAATCACAGCCGCCGGTGACCACGTCTTCATCCGCGCAGCCGTCTCATTGGCTGGACGCCGCTCGTCATTATAGAAATCATCCATCCAGTGACATCGTATCCCCTGTCCACGCCAGCCTCACCCTGCGTGTCCTATGTGCTGGATCATACATACCATAGATCTCCTGTGTGATAGATACCATACATGTCCTGTGTGATACATACCATACACGTCCTGTGTGATGCATACCATACACGTCCTGTGTGATAGATACCATACATGTCCTGTGTGATGCATGCCATACACGTCCTGTGTGATAGATACCATACATGTCCTGTGTGATACATACCATGCACGTCCTTTGCGATACATACCATGCACGTCCTGTGTGATGCATACCATGCACGTCCTGTGTGATGCATACCATGCACGTCCTGTGAGATACATACCATGCACGTCCTGTGTGATACATACCATGCACGTCCTGTGCGATACATACCATGCACGTCCTGTGTGATACATACCATGCACGTCCTGTGAGATACATACCATGCACGTCCTGTGCGATACATACCATACACGTCCTGTGCGATACATACCATACACGTCCTGTGTGATGCATACCATACACGTCCTGTGTGATGCATACCATACACGTCCTGTGTGATACATACCATACACGTCCTGTGTGATACATACCATACACGTCCTGTGTGATACATACCATGCACGTCCTGTGATATACATACCATACACGTCCTATGTGATGGATGATGCATACCTAGTACATGTCCTATATACTGGATGGTATATACTAGGGATGCACTGATACCGGTTTTCCGTTATCGAGTACAATTACCGATATTTATATGTCGGTACTCGCCGATACCAAGCACCGATACCTGAACTTCCTCTCGCATGGAGCAGGCAATCAGGAGGCGGGTCTTTACCCACCAGCTGGCTTCCTGATTGGCTGGGAAGCTATCTCCATGCTGTGTGGCTGGTTCGATGCTGTTTGCCCAGGAAGCCGGCTTACTGGCCAATCAGGAAGCCCAGCGGCAAGTCATTACCCGCCGACCGGCCTCCTGATTGACTAGAAAGCCATTTCCATGCTGATTGGCTGGGAAGCCGGCTTACTGGCCAATCAGCATGGAGCCGGCTTCCCGGGCCAATCAGGAAACCGAGCGGCAAGTCATTACCCACCTCCTGGCTTACTGATTGGCCCGGGAAGTCGGGTTCACGTTCCCTCGCGGCACTGGCGGTCAGAGGAAGTCTCCCTGTGACCGGAAGTTTCGGTGTCGGGGGTTAAGTATCGCAGCATGATGGTAACGGGGAGTACTCGCCAAATATTTGGTATCGGCACAAATACTAGTATCGGTGCATCCTGAATATATACCCAGTACCAGGGGCGTGTCATCATGGCGCATGCGCGGCCATCTGATTGGCGCCTGCCAGCAGCCATCTTGGTGATGGCCGCCGGCAGAGAGAGGAGGGGACGCTCACGCGGCAGGATGAGGTATGCCGCCGGGTCCCCTCCTCTCTCGTGACACAGTCGGGCTCTCGATCCATGACTTCTTAGAGTGGGTGACACCAAAAAGACTGTCAGTCATTTTGGTGTCACCCCTGCAATGGGTGTCACCCGGGTGCGGGCCACACCCCCCTTGTGACGCCGCTGCCTAGTACACGTCCTGTGTGCTTACTATATAAGCAGTGTGATATCTTACAGGAAATGATGTCACGTGGTACGAGTGGGTTATACTTCTGCACGTGGATCATTCTTTAGTTTGTCGGCCATCTTTGGCAGCGCGCGTACTGTAGGCGGAGATCATTGGTACACAGTATGAGGGGGCGGGGGAGGGGGATCTCCCGGTGTCTCGGAGGGCTTCCATTTATGTCTCTCTCTCTGCATCCAGACGACCCGGATGACCTGGTGGTGACGCAGAAGGGGAAGACGCCATTGAAGGACTGGGATAAGATCCCCTCGCTGCGGCTGCTGAACCTGGTGTACGACGTGACGCCCCCCGACCTGGTGGACCTGGTGATCACAGACCTGGGGATGATCCCCTGCACGTCGGTCCCGGTGGTCCTGCGGCTGAAGAGCGGAGAGCAATGACGGAAGAGTTTGTGTTTTATTTATCGCTTTGTTATTAAAGTTGTCACACCCTCCTGCTGATGTGTGATGTCATAGTGATGTCATAGTGGTGTAGACCAGTGCGGGGCGCTGCTGCATTTGTGGCAGGGTTTGGCGGTCTCCATCCCACCTGGCGGTCATGTTGGTAGACGACCTCCATATCACCAGACACAGAGAAGTCCAACCTGGAGGAGATTTCACTCGGTGTAGCAATGTGAAAAGGAAGACAAGTTGCTTCACATTATATTATTCTTGTCGGTTGTGCGGTGTCTCAGGTGGGCTGTTGGGGGGTCTCAGAAGGAGGGGGGTCTTAGGAGGGCTGTGCGTTGTGTCGGGTGGGCCGTGCGTTGTCTCGGGTGGGCCGCGCGCCGTCTCAGGCGCCACAGTTCACAGGTAGGCTGCCGCGTTACCCACCAAGCACGGCTATTTCTTTTTTTTTTTTAAACAATTTGATCGAAACGTTTTAATTGGATGTTGATGGGGAAGGGGCGGGGAATAAGAGAAGGCATTACATGCATGCATAATACTTCGTCTTCAAGCGATCTGCGTACTCCAATCTCTCCCTGCGCGGTCTCTGGGCTCGCAGCAGCTTTACGAATACGAACAATGTTCTGGAGCTGTTGTAGAGAGACGATCCGCTGACCCGCTTCTGCGCAGCAGTAGGTGACGCTGGACTGGATGGATGGAGCTCCACGTCTGAGCTGCACACAGTGTGATGTATGGTGGACACGGCCACAACACCGGGAATATAACTCGGCCATATTGGAGCGGGGGCTCCGCCTCTACGGGGGGATATAACGCCAAGGTCAGACCTTCATATTGATTGATTGCCGGTGACTCCCCCTCATTACACCCATGACGGAGCTCCCTCCTCCTGTTTCATGACTTCTCCTTTAAAGCTGAACTGCCTAAATAAATGAAT